CTGTAATTTACTAAATGTGACATTCTCGTTTTTTTAACATAAACCATTGTTTGCCATAGGAGATGTTCTCATAGTGTAGGTTACGAATGAAAACTTTACTTGTTTTTCCTTCTAATAAGTTTTAAAATAGTTTATTTACCATAACAATGTTAAGTTTTTTTAGGACAATTCGAGGGTCTAATACAGTGCTGTCAAGAATATGTGAACCCTCTGAACAAACTGTGTTTAACTTTTGAAATGTAGTTTTAGACGAACTGTATAATTCATATACATGTAGTTTTGAGAGGTTTACGGTCTCTATGACTTTGCAGTAAATCAATGACTTGATAACAGTTAGAACTTGAATCAGATGATGGAGATAGATGAATTATAAGGGAAGTTGCCAGTGTCTATATGAATCATAAGAGAAGTTACAAGTGTCTATGAATTATATGGCAATTTGCTAGTGTCTATATGAATTATAAGGGAAGTTACTAGTGTATATGAATTATAAGGGAAGTTGCTAGTGTCTTTATGAATCATAAGGGAAGTTACTAGTGTCTATGAATTATATAGGAAGTTGCAAGTGTCTTTATGAATTATATGGGAAGTTACTAGTGTCTATGAATTATAAGGGAAGTTACAAGTGTCTATATGAATTATCGGGGAAGTTGCTAGTATCTCTGAATTATAAGTGCCTACCTACAGACGTTTTGCATTCAATTTGGACCGATACGCGATAGTATTATAGCTGCCTGTTCTGTTTCTACTGTTTACAGGCACTGACACAAGTTTTTTCTTAGGAAAAAGATCGATTTATGTTCAAAATTGTCTTCCTACAGCTCGGTCAAGCGATGTCCGACCTAGATAAAAAGCGCATTTTTGCCTTAAAATTCCATCGTTTGTCGTACCAACTGGTCTAATATTGTACATGTTTCGAATGAGAAATCATTTTTGAGTAGATTGCACTTTATTTGGTGACAATTGGTTGACAATTCACAATTAGTAACGATCTTGGAGGTAAATTGAAGCCTGATGGCAGTTCCGCTGGTGAACCTTTCTACCTTTACTATATTTATAGTAATTATGGATGAAATTCTTAAAGACAACTTTCCTTTGTTGTTTTATTGAAAATAAGATGTTTAAAAACATTTTGAGTGAAAAATATTTTATTCATAAAAATAAGTGTGCGTGGTAATGTACATGTATACTATCCAAGCCACCACCGACTGTCTGTGGTAGGTACTGTTGTTATCCAAATATCCTTGAAATTGGTCTGAAAGTTTATTTTGATGATTTCTAGGTAAAGTTTGAATATGGGTCACTTGGGGTCAAAAGCTAGGTCACATTGCCCAAATATGGTAAAAAACCTGTTAATACTCTGATGCTAACATTTTTGACTGATTCGCATCAAACTTTGTCAGGATGCTTGTCTAGTTAATTGCTTGCGGAAGGTCGAACATTGGTCATCTCTGATAAAACACTAGACCACAGGAGCTAAAAGTTGAAAAATCTTGTGAACTCTCTAGTGGCTACTGTTGGTATTTAAATGTTCTGGAAATTGATCTGCAAGTTTGTTTTAATGATTTCTAGGTAAAGTACAAATATGGGTCACCTGGTGTCAAAAACTTGGTCACACTGCCCAAATATGGAAACACCTTTTTAATGCTCTAGAGGTCACATTTTTACTCAATTTGTCATCAAATTTTGTCAGAATTCTTGTCTAAGTTATTGCTCGTATGAGGTCGATGGGTCAGGGGAGAGATCTGCAAATATGTACAATTTGTATACTGTAAACTATTGACATGGTTTTATACAAATGCAAAACTAAACTCTTCCCCGGTTTATACTTTAGAGGGGTGTTATTATATTGAAAACTTTTGTCAACTTTCATATAATATTATTACTATTATGCAATAAACATAGCACGAGAATCATTTATATAGCATGATTTATAAAACTATAAACATCACGGGAGAGCCAATATTACAGAACAGAACAGAAACGTTATTTCAGAATTGTACAAAATACACCATCATACAAAATAAAATCATTAAAATACACTCAGAGGCACTTATAACGCGACACATATTTTTCTGTATAAATAGGTTATAAATAAGCAAAAATCTAAACGGTGTCAATTCTTTCCCAAAGTTTAGCTTCACACAAAATTAACCCACATAAAACGCATACTTTTTAGCAAAAAAATATTTGTCTTTTAAACAGGGTGTTGCTGATTTCACAGATGTTCTGTAATTGTATTTATGGCATAAGATATATCTATGGAATTTTACATGTTAAATATGTAATAAAATCACGATTACGTGATCAGTTTTTACAAGTATGGAATAGTGATGTTTTTGATTCTGCTAAGTGTTTTAATTATTGAATATATAAAACTCAATTTAAATTAGAACATTATTTACTATGTTTACCAAGAAATTTAGCAATTACTCTCTGTAAATTTAGATGTCCCAATTCTAATATTCATATAGAGAAAGGTCGCTATTTTGGTATTGAAAGAGAAAATAGAACATGCTCACTTTGTAATCAGCAAGAAAAAGGTGATAAATTTCTTTATATTTTTAAATGTACTTATTTTAATCACGAAAGACACAGGTATATCAGTAATTATTATTCAAGGTTTCCTAGTATTTTAAATTTTCAGGCCTTAATGTGTAGCGACAACAGAACTACTTTATTTAATCTAGCCATTTTTGTCAAAGCTATAATGCTGAAATTTCAAGTCATCTTCCTTATATACTTATTTACCTCATGCCATGTTTGTATTATTATTTTTTGTTTTGTTGATTGTTCACTCTTATGCCCTTAAGGGCCATGAGTTTTGTTTATAAATAAAAAAAAATAAATAAAATATACGAATACGAATACGAAAATTTTAATCAGCATTAAACATGTTTTAACAATGTTTATAGCCTATACAAATTCTATTGTACAGTGTGAACAAAAACATAGAAGAAAGAAAAGCAAACAACAAAATGCATTTTTTACATAATAAATTATACAGTTATCAGAAGAGATTGTTTAATGAAACATTATTCTAAAAAGAAAGTATCATGATTATGTAATGTCGAATAAACATGCACATTTAAATATATCATTACACATATATAACCCTATTGAAATATTAACAATATTTGCGTGATTCTAATGAAAAAAAATTTTTTTTTACACAATTCTTCTTTTATTTGCAAAGTAAACAAATTTAGCTAAGTTCAATAAATCTTTTGTAGAGTTTGTTGACATGAGAGCCCTAAATTTATTCAATGTCGGCCACTGGCAGTAATAGCGTTTAAAATATTTATTTCTCAAAAATATAAATATTTATTTCTCAAAAATATAAAGGGAAGTAAAGTTTGGGCAACTTTCGGTTTTTGCAAATAAGCACATCAAGGTCTGAAATGTCGCTACCATTATTTGTTTGGTCTGACGACATAAACAAAATAAAGGAGAAGGAGCTGAATGAGAGACTGAGACATTTGTATGGATAAATTTTAATCCATTAAGTTGTTGTATAATAAACTTGAACAATTATAGTGATTAATTTTCATGTATTAACTTGTTGTTTGATAAACTTGAACAGTAGTGATAAACTTTAATGTATGATAATCTTTAACAATAGTGAGAAACTTTGATACAAGTTGTTTAATATGATATACTTGAACAATTAAATATAGGGATACACTTTTATTCAATTCAATTCAATATATTTATTGCATAAAACATGTAACATATTTATAGCAAACAATACATGAAATACAATGGAAATGTATGGGTTTTACTTATGTTTATACAAAAATTATTGACAAAAGTTTTCTGAATTAATTATAGGGATACACTTTTATACAAGTTGCTGTACGATAAAGGGAACAATGGTGATAAACATTTTTTATATTTGTGTGGTCAGCTTGTGAAATGAAAACCCGAACTCTTGTGAGATGATAAATTATATTGTTTTGTGGGAAACATATAAATACATGTATCTGATGATGACATTTAACACCAGTGATAAGTACATAATCAATACAAAGCAATGTTTCATTGAACGTCCACATTCTTTGAATGAAGAAAAGAAATTTAACTTTTTGTAATTTTTATTCGAAAATTGGAAATTTCTTTGATTGAAATTTAGATTGTTAATTTGATATTTGTGTAAAACGCTTTTTAATTATTTATAATGATTAGTGCTATGCTATGTGATAGTTTATGTAGTACTTTGAATAGACCTCTCTCCAAGGCCTATAACTGTAACATGGATTTCAAGAAAAAAAGGCTCTTAGAAAATTTAACATTATCAAGGTTCCTTTACTATCAAGCACTAAGAATAGTCGAGCGTGCTGTCTTACCAGCAGCTCTTGTTTAATATGATGTCGATGATGTTAAGAAGATAGGCTGTTTCCCTTGGATGCATAACATTTAGAGGATGATTATGAAAACTTACAGTTAATGTCGGGATAAAAAGTCCTAGTAGGGTTTGAATCATACTAAATTCTCTGAATCATTATTGAATTTCGAGGTCGGTTATAGTAGCTACATTTCAGATTTTCACCTTTATCCAAACTCGTAACAACAAGACGTGCTTACTTATCAACTTAAATAAATTCCTGTAATATGAACATGTGTAAAGCCATTCCTGTAATATGAACATGTGGAAAGCCATTCCTGTAATATGAACATGTGGAAAGCCATTCCTGTAATATGAACATGTGGAAAGCCATTCCTGTAATATGAATATGTGGAAAGCCATAATGTTAAAATTAATGACACGACTTGAAATAATTCACTTCAGTCAATAAACGTAAGCTTGTGTTCGATTGGCCTACTGAAAAATTTAAGCAGCAGGACCAATTTTAGGCACATCTGACTCATTTAGTTATGAATTTATGTATATGAACGTTACTTTAAAGCAGGACATTTGATCTTTGTAAGATGAAAAACAACTTAATTTACTTTTACAATTTATTATACAGCTACAAGTCAATATTTACAAAACACATTAAAAATAATGTTCTTTAATTTGTCATCACTTAAAGTTAATAAATATAGCACATTTGATATATCTTCCTTTCATCAGAAGTCATTTATAAACACATAAGTTTAAAATGGCCGCCATGGAACTTCCTTGATAACGTGACCGATTTCATTTTCCTTTCCAGTTCCAATTGTAACAACATCTATACAATAGTCTTTGTCATTTTCGTCGTTATCTGAGCAAGAATCATTCACCTTACTGTAATCGGATAAGGAACTGTAAGAATCACTCGAAGATGTAGTTGCAAAAGTGCTTGAGAAGCCTGAAGAAGAACTGGAATCGAGACTCGCGTGCACAAATGATGACGTAAGTTCCGGAAGTGCTTGAGTACTGTTTAAAATTGGTGAATATCCTGATAAATTTAATTCTGGTAATGACGTATTAAAGGTGTCACATGGTCTTAAGGGAGTAGAAAGACGATTGGTTTGTATGTTTTGATTTGTGCTCTCGTGATTACTGTACCGAGTTATTGCTGGTCCCTGTCGTCTGCTGCTCAAGAGGAATGAATTATGTAGATGATTGCTGAGGGAACCAGTCACGGCGTCATTAGTTCTTGTTTTCTTTGTCAAATACGTCACAGCTTCTCGTGCACATGCCTTGTAGCCTGCATTATAGGCAGCAGCTTCTTTTGCCATGGTAACAGATTGTTGTTGCTGTTGTAACTGCGTGAGGTGATACACCGTTAACTCTAGAATGTCTGCTTTGTCCACTCTTGTCATTGGAGCAGTCTGAAGAAAACAACAGCAGAAATTAGTACAAAATGATTTTTTTCTTACCTTTACAAGATACAAGGATCTTTAATTTTTAACAAATACTACAGTATATTTATAAATGTTTGTCGTCGAAATTTATCATTCTGTCAAATTCACATGCATAAAAAATAATATATAAATATGTCTTTTAAAATCTATCTAGATGAGATGGTTCTTAGTCGTAAATTGCGTTATCTTTTTATGTCAGAATACTTTTTAAAACTCCTGTTTAATACTTATGGAAGAAAAGGCGTCATCTGTCTGTTTAATTATTGCAAAAATTGAAAGATTGACTTACATTTTGGTGAATAGTCTGTGCGATTAGCGACTTCAGATGTGAAATACTTTTATTCATCCTTTCCCTTCGTTTTTTCTCAATCATTGGCTTCCGGATCTGAAGTAACAAATTGGATTTAGTCTCATATGTGAGTAATGTAAATTGTTTCAAAATTGCTATAACAGTCACAAGTGTTATCAATGATTCAACTTAAAGTAGTCTTTTTCATCTGCGAGAGATTCATTTGCTCGCACACTGAATTGAGTTTTAGCTAAGAAAGTGTCCATACTGACATACTGAAGTGACCATACTGAATTGTTATCACTGTATTTTAACATATTTTGCGAAACTTTGAAAATCTCAGTCTAAAGCCCATGTATGAAATTGTGATGTTTTTTGGTGTTTTTTTTTTTGCTTCTGAAAGAAAAATCTTGCTCTATATTATTAAAATAAATATATGCAATAATGATTGTTTTTCTATGATTATCAATAAAGTATTACCGTTTCTTCGTATAAACTATCTAAATTATATTTAATTCTAAAACCAGAAATGACTTCGAGAAAAGGCAAAACATATCATGATTAATAGTGAACTTGTTAGATGCTTATCACAAAACGAAATCAGCTTGGAAAAATAGCGAAAACATAAACAAATTGGTAGGTAGTCATCAGAATACTTAACAATGGTTAAACTGTATGGCCTACGGAAACCAACAAAACATATAAAACCGATAAAAAGCTTTATATGAAAAAAGGTTATAGCTTTTTGGAATATAATGAGCCCTATTTTCTGGAAGAATTTCTATATTTCTTAATAAATAAAAACATACCTTCTTAGCATAGGACATGTCGTCTGCTTTTGGATTCTTTGCTCCGCCCATATTTAATATAAGACGCTGATTTAACCAAGTATTTTCTGTAATAATACCTTAAATCTGTAATTAACAACAACTTACTACTTGTTTTGTAGAAAAACAAATTGATTTTGATGTCAGTTTGAGTGTTGTCTTATTTTATATGTGTGGATTTCTAGTCGTTAAAGCAAGTGTCATTGCAGAAAAGTGTGTTGTTAATTACTCAAGGATGTCCGTTATTAAGAATAAAAGACACTTTACTCAATTAGTTAAAACGTTTTGTAAGTGGATAATTGTTTTTGATACACGTGTCAAACTTTACTTAGAGTGTACTCAATAAATGACGGTCATTAATTTCTCACTTTTTGCAACAATTAAGCAATTAACTGGATGAGAATGCGTGTCTTTAATTAATTTTCATATTTGTTGGTTTAGCTGTATGCAAATTATGACTTTTACATTTATAATACTCTACTACTAAATGTTACTTCTTTTTGATATTTAGGCGTATATTTTTTCAAAAGTGCAAATTTGAATAGAACGGAGAAATGTATTGCAGAACATGCATCTAAATCTTTACATAAACTATTTTCAATTTTTGATAAGTATGAATTTTCTACTAGTGAAAAAGTAAACTGTTTGATTCGTTAGTTGATACTGTACTAACCTATTGTTCAGAAGTCTGGGGAATGAATACAGGGACAGATATAGAACTTATTCATACAAAATTTGGTCGAAAACTTTTATATGTTAATAAAATCAACTAATACTACTGGTCTTTATGGTGACTTATGGAGGGTTCCTATGATTATTTGTAGAAAATTAAATATGATAAGATATTTAATCCATTTACTGAAATCAGATAATTATTTGCAAAATCAAATTTATATCATGCTTAAGAACGATGCCAACAATAATATAACATACAATAATTCAAACTGGGCTTTTAAGATAAAAACACTGTTAAACTATCTAGGACTTTCAAATATATGGATAAATCATGATAATGGTAGTTTTACATTTTTAGAAAATAAACAACGGATATTAGATATTTATTACCAAACTTGGTATGCGAACATAAACAATTCAAAATGTTTACTTATTACTTACTACAGGTTTAAACAATCTTTTAATTTAGAAACATATTTAAAGTCAATAAGTGAGAGGAAATTTCGGATTGCCTAAAGTAGATTTAGATTATCTTCGCATAATTTAGAAATAGAAAGAGGTAGATATCTTAATTAGAACGAACTAATAGAATATGTAAATTTTGCAACCAAGGTAATATAATTGAAGATGAGTATCATTTTCTTCTTGTCTGCCCAATAAATCGAAAAATAAGGAAAAAAAATAAAACCATATTTTTGTAGGTGGCCAACTTTTAATAAATTCGATAGACTCTTGTCCACAGATGATGAAAAGTAACTGTTAAACTTATCAAAAAAAAAAAATATTCTTTTCAAATAAATTAAGGAATAGTTTAGAAATTTGATAGTAATCATATTTGTATGACGATTTGAATTTACTTATGTCAAAATAGATTATTTATTGTGTAAGCTTCTCTATGCAGAACATATTAGATGGCTAATGATATCTCGTGTCATTTTTTCACCTTATGACAATAGTATAATGTGGCTGAAAGCATTGTAATGCTTAATTGATAAATAAACGTTGTTATTGCATCGGAAATCGTCTTTAAAAAAAGAAAAGAAAAAAAAAACAGAATTGGCGAAGGGGCTTTATCAACTTATGTCTAAAAGATGAAATACATTTTACTATTAGTTATTTATCTAAGTCTCATTCATGTACATACACAAGTTAAAATTCATAAGCATACTATATGTATTTAAGTGTAACCTTTTGTCAAGGTTTATTAAACAAATCTTCTTGAGCATAAAAAGATCTGTACGTACATATAACCTCCTTAAGCTGGATGCTGTTTCTATGGACAACTTGTTATTTCTTGTTTTAATTTATATATCATATGTTAAGGAACGATACCAGGTGGTGTCATCAAATCAATCATTTCAAAATCACTATTACCAAAATGAAGAAGAAGATGAAGAAGAAGTTAGAAAAAGAAGAAGAAGAAGATATTCATTAAATTTCAGACATGAAAATTTTATCATTTTAAAATCGTTTTCACACAATAACAACAACAACAACAACAATAATAATAATAAATAATCAATCAAGCTTGCACCATTATAAGTATGGCAATACTCCGAAATCAGGTTTCCAATTATAAGGGAGGGAACTTCGCACATTTCTATTAATCTAGTACCATATGAGTTACTTCCCTTGACCATTTAAAATCTTGGCAAGGGTGTATCTATACAACAATACTAAATTGTAATCATATAAATTATTATCATAGACGACATAATTTCTAACTTTGAACCATAGGATATTATATCAGCTTTTTACAACGCCTTTAATTGAGACTTTGGGGTCAATAAAGATTAACACAGGACCAGTATTTTAAATGGCCAGGACCATTACGTCAGAGGCATTGCCAATTCTAAAAGGAAATACAACGTTTACGAAGTAGGGGCAATACGATATGTTTCTTTTTTTAGAATCACAATCTTAAAGCAAATATTTTGATAATAAATACAAAGTAACTTATCCTATAAATTGTCGATTCTGATGATTTATTACTATCATTTTGTGATGCAAAGTGATCACCGTGATCAAAAAAGTGTACAATTACTAAAGTATATTTATTATGATATAGTCATTTATTTATAAGTTGAATTCGCATTCCTCTTATCAGTTTATTTGTCAATAAGGAATTTTAATTTCAAAATTATTAATATTGTATTTTGAATTAAGATATTTGTTGTTTTTTTCGATTCAGATTGACTTTGTAATTTCGGTCTTACAATATGCAGCCAAATAATAAATGTCTAGGTGGGAAGACAAGTGTAATTTTTGCATTGAATACATACATGTTATGTTTGATTTTTTTTACCCTCGCCTCTGGACTTTACCATATGAGCTACCTTGGTGCTTTCAATGCTTTTGGACACTTGTCATAAACGAATTTTATCCGTGACGGTGAACAGAAATGGTACGCAATCAT